ATCAAACTGTCAGATGACTTATTACCCAGTGAAAATAACTCAGAAATAGTCCAAATAATTTGGATTTATTTTTTTCCTTTCTTTTCTGCTTACAGAAAGTTTCTGTTCATATCATAGGTCTGTGGTGCATTTCTATCATATACAAAAAGATATAAAATTTCAGATATTTCACAATCAGATATTAACATACATAAGAAAACCTTACAAAAATCCTATATAATTGCAGAAAGTATGATGGCCACCATAAGAAAGGCTTACAGTATTCAGTTATGCTGCATAAACTGGTCAGTATATTATTGCAAGAGAACACAAAACCTATTGCAAGAACGCAAAAGAAGAAAAAATCCCCCATATCCTCTAGGGGGCTCCGTTTAAAAGCCTCTAGCTTTTTATGAGTAAGAAATTATGCTGAATACTCCACAGATTTATTCCTGACCTATCTGCCTTTTCTTAATGTGTTATATAATAAATCTTTGAGGCTGATAATCATATGATTAAATTAGACACAGGTGGACTTGGACAGGATTTTATTTAATCTGATAATAGAAAAGTGTTTGAATAAAATGTACAGATTTTACAGATTTTTCTTTGTAAAAAAATTTAAAAACCGCATTTCATTTTTCTTACTCTAAGCTAATTTGAGTTGGTCTGTGACATAAACTTTTACTTAACCCTTTCATGCATAGTGGTCACTACAGTGGACAGCTATCTAAAAGCCATTTTCTTGTGCTTCTTGTGGATTTTTATGTTATAAATGCACACAGACCACTGAAGTGGACAATAATGCATCATAAAATACACTATCAACTACTGGCCATAAGCTGCAAATGCAAGAAATGATTTTTGTTATTTTGGTGGACAGACAAAAAGCACGCCAGTCATCCCTGTCCCTCTTTCTACTGTAGTCGACTCTTGCAGGTATAAACATATTGTGACATCAGATAACCCCTAAAGAACAATGATGTATTTTTCAAATAACAACTTTGTATTTGGAGAAAATTACAACTGATCACCTAAAAAAACTAATATATATATATATACATATATATATATACATATATATATATATATATATATATATATATATATATATATGTATTTTTTTTTTTTTTTACAAAATTTTTTTCCTACCTACTAAAAAAATTTGAAAAAAATCCTGACACAAAGTTCATGCATGAAAGGGTTAAAATACACTGAAAGTTGTTATTGTGATATGACAAAATGTGAAAAGGTTCAAAGGAGTATACATTAGTTTACATTTTTTAAGGCTCCTTACATTATGCAAATATTCTCATTTATCGTTTGCTGAAGAGATAAATCCTTGATGCGTTAATGCTGACATTTAGTGTCTTACTTCTAGGAAATACAGTTTACTCTGTAATAAGAGCAAACTTTGCAGTGAGTGTGCAGAGAGCCTTTGTCACAAAATGTGAATCTATGAGACATTGCTTTGCATTTTGCTGTAGCCCAACCAAACTGATCCTGGAATCAGAGTTACATGTTTCTTTGTGCACTCTCGCCTCTCTGGGTGCAGCTTTTTAAAGGCAAATTCTTCTACTGTGATGGGCTAAATGTCAGCAATATTACCAACAAAACCGAGTGTCTGGAGGCGGGTTATCACTGGATACGACGGAAATACAACTTTGACAACCTTGGACAGGTTTGTCACACCTCCACACATCTTTGCTTTGACACCTGCAAGTGGAAAACTGATGGCACTGATTTCCATTCCCCTCACTCATCCAGGCACTGATGTCGCTCTTCGTGCTGTCTTGTAAGGATGGCTGGGTGAGCATTATGTACGATGGCCTGGATGCTGTTGGGGTGGACCAGCAGGTGAGGAACACTGATTGATGCACAGGCATTCAGAGGTTTTTGACAGTTAATCTTTATTTTTAGTCTTTCACTCCTTTGAATCTGAGTGTTTGACTGAAGAGACATAGAAATGTTTCAGAAGATATCTGAGGAAGTGTGAGGGGAAAAAGTAAAGTACAAATACATGTGACAGTGCTGGCAGTTTCACTGCTGAGTCAGGACTTCTTGTTTACACTTCGCCAACCTCCTCCTCTTCTCTTCTCCCCACTTTACTCACTCTTTTGTCCTCCTGTTCAATTGAACTCCTCTCCTTTCTTCTCTTACTCTCTGTGTATCTTTTTACAGCCGAAAAGAAACAATAACCCCTGGATGCTGCTGTTCTTCATCTCGTTCCTCCTCATTGTGAGCTTTTTCGTGCTCAACATGTTCGTGGGTGTGGTGGTGGAAAACTTTCACAAGTGTCGGCAGCAGCAGGAGGAGGAGGAAGCCAAGTTGAGGGAGGAGAAACGACAGAAGCGGCTGGAGAAAAGGAGGAGAAGTGAGAAAGCATTAGGGTGGTGGGTGCGGATGGACACATTGAGACTGACACCAAAACATCCTGCATTAAACTTTTGATCCTAGTGGCAGATTCTGGTTTTCTTTAGTGCCCACATCTTTTTCTCAATTTTTTAAATTTCAAGTTACGACATTTTATGTGAATTAAAAATATAATGTCAAAAATAACTTAGTGATACATACTATTAAAATCTTTTAATATAAAGATGTGAAAAGTATGTGTTTGGCTTTCTCTGTTATGTCTACCAGCTTCGCATTTTTCTTCTGCCAACGGCATGGACTATATCAGATTGGATAGGCAGCATCTGTGCACTTTATTTTTCGACTGTTGCCCCAGATTCACATGTAGAATTTAGGTCAGGACTTTGACTAGGCCATTTAAACTTGGAAATATGATGTCATGCTTTTTACAAAGAAGAGTTTGATGGACTTGTTATTTTCAGGAGACATCACTGATATGATTTCCTACACATTTGACCTTTAAAACTTAATGGATATCTAGTGTTCTGTGTGCAAAACCTTTTTATTTCTCTACACACTAATTGCTACATTTATTACACTCAGAACTGACACACTTATTTTTATTTATTTATTTATTTATTTATTTATTTATTTATTTATTTATTCCACTCACTACCACATTGGTGACTCACTCTGTCCACTCTTTCTCTGCAGTGTAATCTGTAGTAGTGTCTTCCTTTCAGTCAGTGAACTGTCTGGCAGCAGATAGCGAGGGGTTTCTGCCCAAAGACACCTTAAGGTGTCACAAAGAATGTGTGTGTGTGATGGATAGGATTAAATTCCTGAGGAGGCACTTTTAGTAGGCACACTCACTCGGGCAGCAGAGTGCCACTTGGCACCCGTTTCATTAGTGACTTCATATCCCATATAATATTTTTCTTCCAGAAGCATTTTAATGTCTCTTTGTGTGCGTGCGTGCGTGCGTGTGTGTGTGCGTGCATGTGACAGGGGCCCTGGAGAAACCATATTACGCTGACTACTCCCCACTGCGGAGATCCATACACACAGTGTGCACCAGCCACTACCTGGATCTCTTCATCACCATCATCATCTTCACAAACCTCCTAACTATGAGCATGGAGCACTACAACCAACCTCAGGTAGTCATGGCAACTCCTACCTCTATCTGTCCTGGAACCATAGTAATGAAGTACAGGTACAGCAGAGCCACATTGTTTTTTCTTCTATACAGTGTTGCTTTTTCTGTGTCTGCAGTACTTGGAGGAGATCCTGAAGTACTGCAATTATGTCTTCACGCTTGTATTTGTTATTGAGGCAATTCTGAAGCTTATCGCTTTTGGCCTGCGACGATTTTTCAAAGAGAGGTACTCACAACAGACAGTTCAGGATTACTGATGTGGGGTTCTGCTGAAAGGTTGTAAACAGTTAGCATCTTTCCTGCACTAGATAACTTGATTGTTGTCTCCATTTTTCATCCAGGTGGCCCTTTGTGATTGGTCAGAAACGATCTTTACAGATCCTCATAAATATGTGTATGTACATTGATATTAAGATGATAAACAACTTTACCAAAAAAGTATAAGAAAAGATGTGTGATGTTTTATATGCATTCTTTATGAAATAAAAATAATGCCACTACTAAAATATTCGTACCTTTTTCATACACACATATAGAGAAACTCCCTTCAAGATAAAAGAAATTTTCTATTTTTGGTTTTAGCTTAAACAAGTGGTATTTATTGTGTTCATTATATTTCCTGATGCCACTAACTATATGGGTTTAAAGTGTATTTTAATAGTAAAGTATTGTTAATACATGACCACAGTTTATGTCTCGGTTACATAAAGATGTTTGATTAAGTAACATCACAACCTTTTCCAAACTTTTTCACTTAGCAGGCTAGACTACACTAAGTCATATTCAATAAATTAAAATATTCTAAAAAAGTTAATTTATTTCAATAAATCCATCACTTATCCATTAATTGTACATGGGATGTTTTCATGCCCTTGTAATAATAAAAACACTTAGTTTTTATTATTGCTTAGAAACTGTAGAGTACTCACTATTTAGATGCAGAGAGACTCCTATTATTGCAACCCAGAAAAGGAATTAGAACGAACTTAGAATCCAGAAAAAATTCTTCCAGAACAGGAATACTTAGTTTTTATTATTACTTAGAAACTGTGGAGTACTCATTACTTTACAAATTTAGAGCACACTTAGAAAGTCCAGGGAATACTTACTTATACTTATCTAGCATCCCATTAGTCCAGAGGATACTAACTTACTTACACTTATTTAGCAACCCAGAACAGGGATTAGAACTTGGAACCCAGAAAAACTACGTTAGCAATTACTTTTTAGACTCCTATTCTCCCAACCCAGAAAAGGAATTAGACCAGAGGATACTTACATATACTTATCTACCAACCCTGAACAGGAGTATCTAGTTTATTTACTTTGGATCAACATTATTAGCTTTTTCTTCTTTTGCTCTTTCATTTAGTCTGTTATTTTGTTTAAATTTCCTTTTAATTCCTGTAAAACACTTTGTATTGCCTTGTTGCTGAAAATGTGCTATATAAATAACATTTCCTTTACCTTTCACTTATGATCATTTTTCTACAGATCATGAAATAGATTAGTTTAGAAATTATATCAAACCAATAAAAAATAATACAGAAATGTGGACTTAGTAAACGGTATGTTTAATGCCTGCTTACAGGTTATTTTTAATATGTACTTTTAACCTGACAAATGAGCCTCAACAGAATGCATATTCTAATACTTTTAATATTACTGTATATCTTAGAAAAGTAATGTTGTGTCAATTTGCATTATTCAACTAAGGATGACCACAAAGTTAGAAAACATACATTTTGTTTTAGTAATGTTTTTCTTATATTACTACTTACCAAGTCGTCTATCACTCTCTTCCCTCTGTCAGCCTTTTTCTGTCTTTTCTTCCTCTGCTTCATTTTTGCTGTTTAATATGCTGCAGAGGTTGAAGATACAGTTAATACATGTAACTTTCTCTTTAGGGTTTCTATTCTGAATCATCTAAGGAACTCATTCTACTTAGCATGATTACTGCAGCGCACTTTAGATAGACTAGGCAGTTGGAGAAAGGATAGGGAGGATGGAAGGTCAAGAGATGTGTTTTGGCCAACCAAAAGTTAAATCATGATATAATTTGACATTTATTTTATGTCAGTTAACATAAAAATAAAAAGTGTGCCGGCCCATCAGGCAAATCCCCAGTCATTTGCAAACATGATAATGGTTTAAAGGTTCATTAAAAAGCATTTGTGTAAACTGTCATGAACTTTTGATGTCCAGCTTTGGTTCTGGCCTATCTTAAGTTGTTAACTTTAGCTTCTGTGACTCAGGTATTTTCTACTGCAGGTAATATATGAAGTGCTTTTAACCTTTAAACAGAACCTCACTTAAAAAATTCCAACATATCCTTTTCAGGGTGAAACATTTTATGTTTTAATGGTGGAACTAAATGCACTGTTGTGACTAGATGGAACCAGCTGGACTTAGCCATCGTGTTGTTGTCCATAATGGGAATCACGCTGGAGGAAATAGACCTGAGTGCTTCCCTCCCCATCAATCCCACAATCATTCGAATCATGAGGGTCCTCAGGATAACAAGAGGTAATACACTCATTTACTGGAACAGAAAGAGATACACACACACACACACACACACACACACACACACACACGCATGCACACACACACACGCACACACACACGCAGTGATGTGCATTGTGACTGCCAGATGCTGACATGTTGTGATATTTTAGTGCTGAAGCTGCTGAAGATGGCCACAGGGATGAGAGCTTTGTTGGACACAGTGATGCAAGCTCTGCCTCAGGTAAGAAGCAGGCCTGATGCTGTGGAGTGAAAGCAGCTCAACTGGTGTCCAGAACTGATGATTTATTGTTGCAGTTTCAGGGCCACTCTGCAGTGACCACTGTCTGCGTGGTTTACAAACACCTCTGATTCCTTCAATCAGCTGGTGTTAAACCTGCATCACCAACAGAGCACTAAGCAACAGCAGCAATTAGCCTAAGGCAAGTTAGCTACAGGCTGATTGCCAATCCTTGACTCATGTTGCATTTAAATCTCCAGCTGGATTATGTTTAAGCAGCATACAGATTCATTTCTGCTTTGTTTTGCTACCAGGGAACTGTGAAAAGATAAAAATATGAGCTGGTCTAATTAAAAAGATGACATCAAGTTATAGCAATACTAAAACATCCAAATTAATTTATGTATTTCAGCAGGATATGTGGAAAAGAACAAGAGAACATTTTTAAAACAAATTAAACAGAATTTGCTTGTTTATTCGTATTTATTAATAAATATATTAATTCAAGTTTTTAAATATTTGTTAATTTCATGATTATTTTCAATAATTAATTTTGTATTTTACTTTATTGCGAGCCCCTAATTGTTTTTGTATTTATTTTGTTTGTTTGTTTGTTTTAGAGCAATCTGTTGTATGCACTCATTAATTAACAGATCATTGAAAAAAAAATTCAATTAACATGTCATATTTTTTTTATTATTAGAAATGAGTATAAAAGCACCAAATTAGTGTCCTAAATTTGGAAGAAGTATTGGACTTAATGGTTTGTGAAATTGAAAATTTAGAACATTTATATGCAAGTAAATTTGTTTCACAATAATTCAGTCAGACTAAACTCAACTAAACTCAACTCAATAAAAAAATAAAATTGTGGTCAAAATCTTTGGAATTGTAAAGATTTTTTTAAAAAACATACAAAGACAGGTTTTGTTTAAAAGCTATTTTTTACTACAATCACTCATTTTTGACTCATGAAATGAAAAACTTATTAGCAAAACAAACTTTTATTTGTGCATGTCAGAAAGAGCCTATGGAATCCACTAACATAAAAAAAACGGTAAAATGGAGCAAGAAATGGCAGACAACATGGTGAAGGAGATAAAGCTGGCTATTAGTAAACAAGAATCTTCCCTTGAAATATCTATGGATGATCTAAAGAGGTCAGTTGAATTTCTCTCTGCTGACTTGCAAAACATCAAAGAAACACTGAAGACTACAGTAAAGAGGGTTGATATAGCTGGGAAAAAAAATCAAAATTCTGGAGAATCAAGTTGTCGAGCTGGCGCAATATAAACGCCGTTGGAACTTACGTTTGCAGGGTTTGCTGAAGGAGAAGCGCTGAGGATGAACGTGATTGACATCTGCCAAATCACTTCCAAGCCACAAAAAAAAAAAATTCTCGGAAGCAATCGATTCAGTGCACAGGTTTGGAAGATATGGCCACGGCTCAACTCCAACAGAGGGATGTTATGATCCAGTTCGCTATGAAGCATTACCGGGATGCTGTGTGGAAAATGTCAAAAAAGGCAGACTACTTGACTCAGAGGAAACTGTGCTTCATGGAAGACCTGACCCCGGAGGATCGGGACAAAAGACAACTGTAACCCATCATCCAAACAGGCACAGGAGGAGAAAAAGATGGCGTATTTCATTGGAGGGAGAGCATTTGTTGAAAACAAAGAAATATTCTAACGGACATGTTTATTTTTTAAAGGGAGAATACCTCTGATGTAATTCATCCAACTTTAGAGGAGTTAAGTCACTGTTCTCGCTTTCTTCTATTGTTACTATTAAACATTTCTACTTTAAAATTTATTTCAGTTAACGCTGGACGCTTAAGAACAAAAATCTGTTTTTCTATATACAAAGAACGTTGATGCAGATTTTTGCTTGGTTCGGGAATCCTGTTCTACTAATTAGGCCCGAGCAGCGACTTGCTGGCGAAGGCCTATTGAAATTGTACTGTTTATTATTAAGATTACAACTTCTGGAAATTGCAGTGGGGCGAGGACTTATGGATTTCAGCCATTCAGCTGGAAATCTAAATTTTAAGCATAAATTTAATGGGAAAGTTATATGTTGATAGTTTTCGGTTAATGTAACCATTTTTTTTCAATTGGGAAACATTTATGGTTAGTCAAGCATGAGACAAAACAAAGTTATTTTAAACTTTATAATTTGATTCAAAGTAATGTTGAAAGGTTCTTTCATGTTAAAATAATACTGGGTGGATATTTTAATTGTATTATTGATGATAAAACTGATAGATGGCAGGAAAGAACTCCTGGTAACTTGTTTTTATCTGATTTAATAAATGAAAGAGACCTTGTTGATATTTGGAGAGTTAATAATCCAGGTAGAAGAGACTTTACATGGACAAACAGAGCTGGTGTATTACATACTAGAATAGATTTCTGGTTAATTTCAGAGCAGAATTCCAGTTATGTTTTTAAACTAGAAAAACTAAGACAAAATAAAACAATATAAATAGATTCTCTTCAAATGGTAATTGTAGTGGGGTATCCAAGATCTGTGAAAACTATTATAAAATGTCATATACTTCAAATATCTCAGGTACTCAAATTAATGATTTTTTTAAGGATCTTGGTGATGTTAAAACCATAGGTCAGTTTGTGATTCACATTTTATATATAAAACTTAAATTAAACAAATCCCCTGGCACTGATGGGCTAACATGTCCATCAATCTATTTTCTAACACCCTTGTCCCCAGTGGGGTCAGGAGGGGTGCTGGTGCCTATCTCCAGCGAACGTTTCGGGCTAGAGGTGGGGTCACCCTGGACAGGTCACCAATCTGTGGCAGGGCTAGCACCTGAATTTTCTAATTTATTCTCTACCCAACCTGATCTCTTTTTATTGAATATTTTTACAGAAAGAAAGAACAACTACCACCCATACTACGCCAAGGTCTAATTACACTAATCCCTAATTATCCTTAATAATACAAAAAGATGTACTATTTTAAGACAATTGCCGCCCTATCACTTTATTAAATAATGATTATAAAATATATGCTTTATGTTTGCCTAATAAAAAAAAAATGTGTTTAGTGACGTTGGAGATTCTCAAAATGGTTTGGCTGGATGATATCAAATTGATAATATAAGGCTTGTTTTAGACATATTAGACTACTCTGATTTAATATAAAATAGTCTTATTCTCTTTCTTGACTGTAGAAAGAGAATAAGAAAGAGAATGAAGCTTTGATTCAATGGAACACAATTTTCTGTTTAAAACACTCAACCTTTTTAGCTTCGGTGAGCAGTTTAAGAAATCAATAGGCACTTTATATGCATTAGGTAATAGTTTGGTTAAATTATCCCATGCAACCACCTGTAGATTTAATATTGAGTATGAAATTCAACATGGTTGTCCGATCTCTGTTTATGTTTTACCTATGCAAATTTTAGCAAATTTCATAAAGAACAGTGGTTTAAAGGGTATTCAAACTGCTGAGAAAGAAATATGTTTGAGTCAACTGGCCGGTGATACGACTCTATTTTTAAAAGATTGTTCTCAAATATTGCTTTTATTAAGCTGCTTTTAAGTTGCTATTAAGCTGCTCAGTGACTTTTCCTCAGCATCTGGCCTCAAACTTAATCTCTCTAAATGCAAATTGCTTCCCATAAAAATCTGCAATGAATCAGAAATCTCAGGAATCCCTGTCAAACATAAAGTTAAATATCTTGATATCTCCATCGCGAAAGAAGAAAACAAAAAGTCAGATGAAAATTTTAACCCCCTTGTTGCTTTAATCCAGAAGAAATTTAATATGTGGTTAGAGAGANAGTGATGTGCATTGTGACTGCCAGATGCTGACATGTTGTGATATTTTAGTGCTGAAGCTGCTGAAGATGGCCACAGGGATGAGAGCTTTGTTGGACACAGTGATGCAAGCTCTGCCTCAGGTAAGAAGCAGGCCTGATGCTGTGGAGTGAAAGCAGCTCAACTGGTGTCCAGAACTGATGATTTATTGTTGCAGTTTCAGGGCCACTCTGCAGTGACCACTGTCTGCGTGGTTTACAAACACCTCTGATTCCTTCAATCAGCTGGTGTTAAACCTGCATCACCAACAGAGCACTAAGCAACAGCAGCAATTAGCCTAAGGCAAGTTAGCTACAGGCTGATTGCCAATCCTTGACTCATGTTGCATTTAAATCTCCAGCTGGATTATGTTTAAGCAGCATACAGATTCATTTCTGCTTTGTTTTGCTACCAGGGAACTGTGAAAAGATAAAAATATGAGCTGGTCTAATTAAAAAGATGACATCAAGTTATAGCAATACTAAAACATCCAAATTAATTTATGTATTTCAGCAGGATATGTGGAAAAGAACAAGAGAACATTTTTAAAACAAATTAAACAGAATTTGCTTGTTTATTCGTATTTATTAATAAATATATTAATTCAAGTTTTTAAATATTTGTTAATTTCATGATTATTTTCAATAATTAATTTTGTATTTTACTTTATTGCGAGCCCCTAATTGTTTTTGTATTTATTTTGTTTGTTTGTTTGTTTTAGAGCAATCTGTTGTATGCACTCATTAATTAACAGATCATTGAAAAAAAAATTCAATTAACATGTCATATTTTTTTTATTATTAGAAATGAGTATAAAAGCACCAAATTAGTGTCCTAAATTTGGAAGAAGTATTGGACTTAATGGTTTGTGAAATTGAAAATTTAGAACATTTATATGCAAGTAAATTTGTTTCACAATAATTCAGTCAGACTAAACTCAACTAAACTCAACTCAATAAAAAAATAAAATTGTGGTCAAAATCTTTGGAATTGTAAAGATTTTTTTAAAAAACATACAAAGACAGGTTTTGTTTAAAAGCTATTTTTTACTACAATCACTCATTTTTGACTCATGAAATGAAAAACTTATTAGCAAAACAAACTTTTATTTGTGCATGTCAGAAAGAGCCTATGGAATCCACTAACATAAAAAAAACGGTAAAATGGAGCAAGAAATGGCAGACAACATGGTGAAGGAGATAAAGCTGGCTATTAGTAAACAAGAATCTTCCCTTGAAATATCTATGGATGATCTAAAGAGGTCAGTTGAATTTCTCTCTGCTGACTTGCAAAACATCAAAGAAACACTGAAGACTACAGTAAAGAGGGTTGATATAGCTGGGAAAAAAAATCAAAATTCTGGAGAATCAAGTTGTCGAGCTGGCGCAATATAAACGCCGTTGGAACTTACGTTTGCAGGGTTTGCTGAAGGAGAAGCGCTGAGGATGAACGTGATTGACATCTGCCAAATCACTTCCAAGCCACAAAAAAAAAAAATTCTCGGAAGCAATCGATTCAGTGCACAGGTTTGGAAGATATGGCCACGGCTCAACTCCAACAGAGGGATGTTATGATCCAGTTCGCTATGAAGCATTACCGGGATGCTGTGTGGAAAATGTCAAAAAAGGCAGACTACTTGACTCAGAGGAAACTGTGCTTCATGGAAGACCTGACCCCGGAGGATCGGGACAAAAGACAACTGTAACCCATCATCCAAACAGGCACAGGAGGAGAAAAAGATGGCGTATTTCATTGGAGGGAGAGCATTTGTTGAAAACAAAGAAATATTCTAACGGACATGTTTATTTTTTAAAGGGAGAATACCTCTGATGTAATTCATCCAACTTTAGAGGAGTTAAGTCACTGTTCTCGCTTTCTTCTATTGTTACTATTAAACATTTCTACTTTAAAATTTATTTCAGTTAACGCTGGACGCTTAAGAACAAAAATCTGTTTTTCTATATACAAAGAACGTTGATGCAGATTTTTGCTTGGTTCGGGAATCCTGTTCTACTAATTAGGCCCGAGCAGCGACTTGCTGGCGAAGGCCTATTGAAATTGTACTGTTTATTATTAAGATTACAACTTCTGGAAATTGCAGTGGGGCGAGGACTTATGGATTTCAGCCATTCAGCTGGAAATCTAAATTTTAAGCATAAATTTAATGGGAAAGTTATATGTTGATAGTTTTCGGTTAATGTAACCATTTTTTTTCAATTGGGAAACATTTATGGTTAGTCAAGCATGAGACAAAACAAAGTTATTTTAAACTTTATAATTTGATTCAAAGTAATGTTGAAAGGTTCTTTCATGTTAAAATAATACTGGGTGGATATTTTAATTGTATTATTGATGATAAAACTGATAGATGGCAGGAAAGAACTCCTGGTAACTTGTTTTTATCTGATTTAATAAATGAAAGAGACCTTGTTGATATTTGGAGAGTTAATAATCCAGGTAGAAGAGACTTTACATGGACAAACAGAGCTGGTGTATTACATACTAGAATAGATTTCTGGTTAATTTCAGAGCAGAATTCCAGTTATGTTTTTAAACTAGAAAAACTAAGACAAAATAAAACAATATAAATAGATTCTCTTCAAATGGTAATTGTAGTGGGGTATCCAAGATCTGTGAAAACTATTATAAAATGTCATATACTTCAAATATCTCAGGTACTCAAATTAATGATTTTTTTAAGGATCTTGGTGATGTTAAAACCATAGGTCAGTTTGTGATTCACATTTTATATATAAAACTTAAATTAAACAAATCCCCTGGCACTGATGGGCTAACATGTCCATCAATCTATTTTCTAACACCCTTGTCCCCAGTGGGGTCAGGAGGGGTGCTGGTGCCTATCTCCAGCGAACGTTTCGGGCTAGAGGTGGGGTCACCCTGGACAGGTCACCAATCTGTGGCAGGGCTAGCACCTGAATTTTCTAATTTATTCTCTACCCAACCTGATCTCTTTTTATTGAATATTTTTACAGAAAGAAAGAACAACTACCACCCATACTACGCCAAGGTCTAATTACACTAATCCCTAATTATCCTTAATAATACAAAAAGATGTACTATTTTAAGACAATTGCCGCCCTATCACTTTATTAAATAATGATTATAAAATATATGCTTTATGTTTGCCTAATAAAAAAAAAATGTGTTTAGTGACGTTGGAGATTCTCAAAATGGTTTGGCTGGATGATATCAAATTGATAATATAAGGCTTGTTTTAGACATATTAGACTACTCTGATTTAATATAAAATAGTCTTATTCTCTTTCTTGACTGTAGAAAGAGAATAAGAAAGAGAATGAAGCTTTGATTCAATGGAACACAATTTTCTGTTTAAAACACTCAACCTTTTTAGCTTCGGTGAGCAGTTTAAGAAATCAATAGGCACTTTATATGCATTAGGTAATAGTTTGGTTAAATTATCCCATGCAACCACCTGTAGATTTAATATTGAGTATGAAATTCAACATGGTTGTCCGATCTCTGTTTATGTTTTACCTATGCAAATTTTAGCAAATTTCATAAAGAACAGTGGTTTAAAGGGTATTCAAACTGCTGAGAAAGAAATATGTTTGAGTCAACTGGCCGGTGATACGACTCTATTTTTAAAAGATTGTTCTCAAATATTGCTTTTATTAAGCTGCTTTTAAGTTGCTATTAAGCTGCTCAGTGACTTTTCCTCAGCATCTGGCCTCAAACTTAATCTCTCTAAATGCAAATTGCTTCCCATAAAAATCTGCAATGAATCAGAAATCTCAGGAATCCCTGTCAAACATAAAGTTAAATATCTTGATATCTCCATCGCGAAAGAAGAAAACAAAAAGTCAGATGAAAATTTTAACCCCCTTGTTGCTTTAATCCAGAAGAAATTTAATATGTGGTTAGAGAGAGATTTATCCATCTCTGGTCGGGTCTTATTGTCTAAAGCTGAAGGTCTCTCCAGTTTGGTATATGTTAGTGAACTAACATATAGTTAGTTATATGTATACCATATACCAAACTGGAGAGACCTCCAGTTTGGTATATGTGAGGTTTCCAATGAGATCAGCTCAAAGTAGATAAAATATTATTTGATTTTATTTGGAAGAAAAAGGTTAATCTTATTAGGAAAAAATGTAATGATAAATAAATTGTGCTCTGGTAGATTTAATGTGTTAGCTTTTCAAACTGAATTCTTTCTTTAAAATGAAGTGGCTCAGAATATCTTCTAAATTAAAACTATCTGTGGAAATGTATATTTATATTTAAGGCATTAAGTGGCTTATCTTTTATTTTAATATGTAACTGTAATATTGAAAAAAATCCTAGTTAAACTTTCCAGTTTCCATAAACACCTATTGTTGTACTGGAATTTAATACATAAACATAACTTCCCACCACACAAATACTATATTTGGAATAACAAAGACATCATTTAAACATATATCTATTTTTTTCTTAAAAATGGTTTGACAAAGGTATTGTTTGTGTAGATCAACTTTTCAACAAATAAGGTAATACTACTCTTATAATGAATTTCTGACCACATATAATTTTCCTGTACTGCCTGAAGAATTTGCAATCATATTTGATGCCATTCCTTCCCGGGTGAAAATGTTACTGTCATCCTCTGTTCAACACCATACTGATTTCTTAATGGAACAATTATTCATCGGAAACTCTGATTCATTTTTAAGTAGAAAAACTAATAACAAATGTATTAGACCAGTGGTTCTTAACCTTTTTTGAGGTACCGAACCCACCAGTTTCATATGCACATTCACTGAACACTTCTGTAGTGATAAATAAAAGGTGATCCCCCTCCCCCCAAATTCAAGACATAGGGGTGACCCAACTAGAGTCTAGTTGGGTCACCCC